TTTTCAGGTGTTTTTATTAAAGATCTTGCTAAGTCTGCTATTAGTAGGAAAGTGTTTTTCAATTAAAGCTAGGAACAAAGAAGTAATAGAAAACATACTTTTACTTATTACCCTATTACAGAGCCGCTGGTAGTCACGGGAGCGAAAGTTGTTAGATGCATTCTATCAACAAAAAAAGAATAAGCTCCTTCGAAACACGTTTATATTTATTACGTGCAGCCATGAGTAGGCGGCTGTTGTACTTGGAGCTGTCTCGCTTCTATAGCCGAAAAAAGTGGTTCCTGTTCGGTATAGCGGCTGAACAGGCCGGTATAAACCAAGGAGAAAATTTCATTCGATATTTCCGAGAAGGGATAAAAGTATCTATGGCAGCTTTGACTCAAGAAGAAGCCTTACAGGCACAATTTCTATATATATATATATATATATATATATATATATATATATATATATATATATGAAGAAATATAGTTTTAGAGTGTGCTATATTAATGGGATAAAGTGCTCAATATCAGAGATGGAGCGTATGTAAATATAAACATAAAAGTGAATAATGAAGTCAACAGAGGCAACATACTGTTTCAGACGAGACGCAATATGTCAGACCTCGAGTGTTGGATTTTTTCTCGACGATTTATATATAATTGTGGATAATGCAATTAAACCAGATAAATAAATGAATAAACAAGCCACTCCCGCCAAAATAACCACCAGAATGGATTACCCACAATGCACCACTGACCCATATATATAAATAGTCAAAAAAAATCCAACACTCGCGGCCTGACGATTGCGTCTAGCATGAAACAGCCTGTCGCCTCAGTGTTGATTTCAATGCTCACTTATATATATATATATATATATATATATATATATAAATCTCCCTACGATTAAATAAATTTAATAAAACACTGTATTAACTCTATATTAAACTAAAACAAAAATATGAGACAAAAAGCGCCAAAACAATAACTTTGATGTAATAATGGGTAGCTATGAAGGTGTGTAAGTTATATATATATCACACACAAATTAGCAACTGTAATTAACAAAAAGGTTATGGGTTTATACAGAGATCTGAAAAATTAAAGTGAAAATTCTAACGACAAAACAACAGACATAAAAGAAAGAAATAATGAAAAACTTCAAAAATCTGGCTTTCACTATCTATATAAAATCTAAACCAAAAAAGATTTCCTTGATATAACCTTTAACTTAAACAACGGAATATACAAGCCATACAGAAAACCAAATAACCGAATATATATTAAGAAAAAATCCACCCCCTACGTATTCAAACAAATACCCATATCTACAAATAAAAGACTTTCAACAAATTCTACTAACTTAAAAATATTCAATGAAAATAAAAAAAAGTATGACTTAGCCCGAAGGAACAGTTTATATTCAATCAAATTACAATATAAAATGGGGAAAAAACAGATAAAAATTTGTTCAAACTAATAGACAAACGTTCCCTAAAATAAATTATCAAAAAGTATCAATAAAAATACAATCAAAATAAACTACAACTACTTGAATAATATGGGGAAATATAATAAAGCAAATTCAAAATCTACTCCACAAAATCAATAACAATCAGCCGAATAATACCATCAAATGTAATTGTAAAAACAAAGAAAATTGCCCACTAAACAACAAATGTTTAACCAATAACGTAATATACAAACTTACCGTAACTAATAATACTAACACAGACGTGAAAAATTTATATAAGTGTTACAAAAAAAAAAAAAAAAATCCCCCCAAAAAAACATAAAAGAGAAATATTATAAGAACAAAATATCCTTTGACAGAAAAATACACAAAATACACAACCCTATAAAGATATATATGGAAACAAAAAGTAAACAATATTCCCACCAAAATCAAATTGGGAGTTATAAAAAGAGTACCACCATACAGCATTAACAGCAAAAATTAGATATTCTTCTTCTTCATCTTCAAATGCTGTTTTATTTTTTAAAAGGTCCAAACGTTTATCAAGAATTTCCTAGGGGTATGAAGCATAAGACAGGTTGCACCCACCTGTTTTAAGTGATTCACCTCCGAAACTAGGTAATAAAAATATATATTAACTTGTAATGATTAAAGATGAATGAGTGAGATCGCAATATAGATTTGTGACATTTATGTCCATAGGATGGTACCGTGGCTAAATTGGTCACTCAATACAAGGGTCAAGAGCCACTCGAGATAGAGGGTTACTGAATGAGGTGTGGGTAATAAGTGTACAAGTAGGGAGTGAAGATTATGAAAGATGGGCAGTGATTCACCTTTTATATCGAGGACTGTAGCATTTGGGGAAGCATTCACTAGGGAGCCTGTTTCGCAAAGTGGTTGTTCTGGCGAATAAGCTGTCTGAGCGGAACGTCCTTCTTACAACTGATACTGAGTATAAGTGTTCCATTTTGTTCCCATTTTTATTAAAAGTTCCTCGTTGCTGACATGCTCTGGCCATAGAATTCTCAGCATCCTTCTGTAGAACCCCATCTCTTGCATCAAGTCTTTTCTTTAAACGGTGCTAAAAGTTGATTTGCCAAGTTCAGCTAGTTCACCCGTGGCATGTGGTTCAACAATTAATAATTTTGACTCTTTCGTCTTCAAGAATGATCCTTTTTTGTAAGTGCGGGGGGGGGGGCATAGATCAAACATTTCTTTGGGTGCGGAGCATAAAAAACATTTGGAAATCTGGTTTGAAGAGACAGTAATTTTCACAATTTAAAAACACACACACATTAACACAAACGCATACACATTAAAACACCCTACCGCAGTAAGGTGGCCTCTGTGTGCCTTTTCTATAAATACTTTCATGGTAATTGTTCGGGTGAGCTCTTTACTATGGTACCTAGACTGTTTTAATTTAAATGCAATGTCAATCGCTATCTACTGTCCTCCTGATTACTCTTTTCTCTTCTCACTTATTAATGTTTTTGTTCCTAATTCTTCAACATCCTGTAACCCTTTGTGTCTTAGTGGCTTTTTTTTTTTATCAAAAATTATGATTTCGACATAGATCGTTTGTGTTAATGTGTGTGTGCGTGTGTTTTTGAATTGTGAAAATTATTGTCTCTTCAGATCAGAATTCCAAACTTTTTTTTATGCTCTGCACCTAAAGAAATGTTTGTTTTTTAACTTATGAGTGAATCTTGACAAGGCAGATATAAATTCTTTCTATACAAACACAATTAAATAAAAAACTTTTTTGAGTGAAACATTACTTATATATGGCAATTTTAGAAGGTGAATTAAAAATAAACACAGATAAAATATTTATTAAAATATGCTTTTAAAGATAGTTTTTCAAATTAGATATTACCGTGTATGTTATAAACCACGAAAGAAGCATTTCAATAATTTTCTAATGTTTACAATAATAATTAAGGAAAACTTTTTCATATGTTTAAATAATTTGGTACAGTTTGAAAAAATCTAAATCAGATTAGAGAATTCCATACATTTTTCGTCTCCATTCAACTAATTTGCAGTAACATGAAATATCAGATGACAACAATGCTTATTATTGCCTCTGTGTGCCTTTTCTATAAATACTTTCATGGTAATTGTTCGTGTGAGATCCTCGCTAAGGATTTTGAGGGTTGTTATTAATATTATTTTGTTTAATTTCTTGTAAATAGTTTTGTTCATTTTTGTAAATATTCACTGGGGTTAAATTTTTAAATTATTGTTTTATTCTCTCTCCACAGACAATGGATTGTACATATGGGGACTAGTTAGGACTTTCATAAAGACAATGAGGTATTATGGTGAATGTAGTAAGAAAGGTAATCAAGAATGTGGTCTTTTGGTATTAGGGATATTGTGGTATGTTTGGGTCAGTGTTTGTGGCTAGCTAAGTTTAAATTTAAGACAGAACAAGACCGTCCTTTCCCCCCCCCATTCTCCACTTTGGCCTTGTGTCACATTTTGTATTTTTATAAATAAATATCGCTCTTCGCTATGGTACCTAGACTTTATGAATTTAAGCACAGTACTAGATTAGCAACAAGGTCTCACCAGTTTACAGTTTGAGCTGGCTAGATGTAACCGTAAATTCTATGCTAACAGTTTCTTTTCTTGCACTTTTCACTTGTGGAACTCTTCTGTTTCCATGCTTTCCAGTCAACTTTAATCTGCAAAAATTTAAAAGCAATGTCAGTCGCTCTCTAGTGTCCTCCTGATTACTTTTCTTTTGTTCTCGCTCCTTGGCAAAGTTTCAGTTTTTAATTCTTCTACAACCAGTAATCCCTTGTGTCTTAGTGGCTTTACTACCTTGCATGGGGCGAAATCGATTTAAAAAAAAACCAAAAAAACTCACACATTAAAACACACACAAAGACAATAAAGCAAACACATAGGCACATTAAAAAAAACACACACATTAAAACAAATACAGACACACACACATGAACAAAAACACAGACAATCATTAAAACAGACATAGACACACGCTTTAAAACAAAAACACACATACACTAACATTGCATTTAGAATTCTAATGTAGATGGGAAGACCTATACAATGAATAGAAAATATACTCCAATTCTTTCTTTCCAAGGAAATGCTATCACATGCATCTTAAAAGGCCAATAGACTCAGTAGTTTTCTGGCATAACCCTGAAAAGAAAAAAAAAAAAAAATATCCACAAGCGACCATTAATTGCCAGTTCTTCAAAAATGGTAATTCTTGACATGAAATGAAAACATGACAGGTCTTGATATTCTAAGTCTGTTGGCTTGATGGAGCAGGGGGTAAGGGAAATTGGACAGGGAAAGATTCCAAGTGAAGTCATAATGGTAAATTGGTTTCTATGACTGAAAGGTACCTGTGGTTGGCCAAAAACCTATTACTTTGTGAGAATAATAAAGCTTTGTCTTAAGAAGTCTTGTGATGTTTTTGAGCGGAATAATATTACATGGCAGGCGGAATCTTGTCGTTAGATCAATATCAAAGATGAAGAAGATCGGGGTAGAGGTTAGCGTTGTTCAGCAGAAAGAATTGGCAACAAAAAACCAAAAAAAAGGGGGTGGGGAATAGCGAGAACATAGAAGAGTAATGGTATATACAGGAAATGAAAAAGACAAAGAAAAGCGGAAAAAAGGTAAAAAGAAAAACGAGGAAAGAGGAAGTGAAGAAAAAAGAAAAAGAGGAAAAGGGAAAAAGAAATAAAAGAGAAAAAGAGGAAGACTAAAAAGTGAGGAAAAGAAAGAAAGAGAAAAGAAGAAGAGAAAAAGAAGAGGAAGAGAGAGGGGTAAAGCGAGAAAGTGAAGAAAAGACAAAGAGAAAAAGAGAAAAAAGGAAAGTGAAAAAAGGTGTAAAAGAAAGAAAAGAAAATGACAAAGAAAGCAAAGGCTAGAAAGTGTAGAAAAGAAAGAAAGAGAAAATAAAGAGAAAAAGAGAAGAAAAAGAGAACAGAAACGGAGAAAAAGAGAAAAAAAAATGGGATAAAGAAAGAAAGATTCAAAGATAGAAAGTGAAGAAAAGAAAAAAAGAAAGGAAACAGAGGAAGAGTGAGAAAAAGTGAAAAATGGTTAAAGAGAAAGAGAGGAAAAGCTAAAAGTTACGAAAGGAAAAGAGAAAAGAGAAAAAGAGAAGAGAGAGAAAAACAAGAAAAAGAGAAGAGAGAGAAAAACAAGAAAAAGAGAAAAGAGAGAAAAACAAGAAAAAGAGAAAAGAGAAAAACAAGAAAAAGAGAAAAGAGAAAAACAAGAAAAAGAGAAAAGAGAAAAACAAGAAAAAAGAGACGAGAGAGAAAAACAAGAAAAAAGAGACGAGAGAGAAAAACAAGAAAAAAGAGACGAGAGAGAAAAACAAGAAAAAAGAGAAGAGAGAGAAAAACAAGAAAAAAGAGAAGAGAGAGAAAAACAAGAAAAAGAGAAGAGAGAAAAACAAGAAGAAAAAGAGAGAGAAAAAACAAGAAAAAGAGAAAAGAGAGAAAAACAAGAAAAAGAGAAAAGAGAGAAAAACAAGAAAAAGAGAAAAGAGAGAAAAACAAGAAAAAGACAGAAAAAGAAGAAAAGAGAAGAGAGAGAAAAAGAAGAAAAAGAGAAGAGAGAGAAAAACAAGAAAAAAGAGACGAGAGAAAAAGAAGAACGTGAAAAAAAATGGGAGAAATAAAGAGAGAAAAGCGAGAAAGAGAAAAAAAAGAGTGGAAATGTAACAAAGTGAAGAAAAGAAAGAAAAGAGAAAAGAGAAAGAGGGGAAAAGTGAGAAAAAAGAAAGAGAAAGAAAAGAAGAGTGAGAAAAAGCGAGAAAAAGAGAAAGCAAAAGAGAAAAAGAAGAAAAGCGAGAAACTGGGACGCATTTGTCCAAGGACGCTACTGACTGGTCCATAACTGTCCGGGAAGCACATGTCCTAGAACCAAGAAACTGTTAGCATAGAACTTACGGTTACTTCTGGCCATTTCAACTGTAAATTACTGAGACTTTGTCGCCAATCTAGTACTGCACTTAAATTCATAATGTCTACGTACCATAGAGTAAAGTTCTAGTGTAGGCCTCCATCGGTCAGGGTTGACCATGGATAGCATCCTAGTTGTCTGTTTGGCTAGAACATCGACGTCTGTGACTGTAGAGGCTGACGCGAGAGTGACAATCTCTGTTGCAGAGGTCGCATGTGTGTCTGGTCTGTTGGAGCTGTCACTTGGCTTTCTGCGGGCACGCCTTTCTGGGGCGATTTGTGTCAGCTTCTCCTTCCCTGACTTGAGGTGTTTGGTCAGGGTTCCTCTCCATTTGGATCGTATGGCTGCCAAGCTATCCCAGGACTATGTTGATATCCACAGCTTTCATGTGGCCACTCGGCGGGTCTACTTCAAGAGGCCAGTTCGCGATACAGGAAGTTTTTGGGGATGCGACCGTCTGGCATGCGGTGGACGTAGCCTAACCAACGGAGTCTATGATGTCAGAGCAGTGTGAACATGCTGGGCAGACGAGGCTGGGACTACGTACGCCAGGCAAGAAAAGCGTCTGAACACCTTTCACATGAGAAGCATCCACTGCATACTGGGAACAGCGTGGCCAGACAAAGTGCCCAACACTGAGGTCCTGTCTTGAGCAGGTCTGTCCAGCGTATTCACACTGCCCAGTAAACTTCATCAGAACAATAACCATGAAAGTATTTATAGAAAAGTCACAGGGAAATTAGGTTCAATCCTCACTAGGTGTCCCATACTTTCGGCCTTGTGCCATGTTTAAGCTACGCTTGGAAAATCACTATACCAACGGATTTTTTTTACCTGTACTATATATATATATATATAAAACTTCACTCCTGGTGTTTTAAAAGATGTGAAATTAAGCAGGAGTTACAAAATACATTATTTTATACTGTATTCAAGAATTCTACCAATGCTACTAGTTTAATTACATTGAAATGTCTTTCTTTTTTATTTATTTGACACAAGCAGGAAAAATGTAAGCAAAAATTGGAAAACTTAACCCAGAGCATCTTGAGTACAAGAGAAAAGAAGGCAGCAGGCCACCTACCTGACGAGCTTATATGAATGAATAGTGGAACAGGGTGAAGAGTCTTAGTAGAGTGAGAAAAACTGCTAAGGGCCACAAGCAATCGGAAGATGGGGAGAGCTATGATTGCCCATGTCCTGAAGCGGCACATTGAAGACGAAGACACACATTAACTTATTTTAGGGTGGGTGAGTATGAGTATGTATACGTCTACAATTTGTTATATCTATATGGTGAAGAGTGCTCAATATAGGAGATTTAGGACATTTCTAAATAGAGACAGTATGGATATAGAAATCAACACTTCATGGTGACTGTCAGTTTCACATTTTAATGCGATCTTCAGATCATATATATTAAAATCCACTTGGATTATATACCAACTGATTTTTTACCTGTACTAGATTACATATATATATATATATCTTTAACTGGTGTTTCAAAAGATGTGAAATTAAGCAAGAGCTACTAAATACATTATTTTATGTTTTTATTATATATATATATATATATATATATATGTGTGTGTGTGTGTGTTCTTAACGAAACACTATTTTTAATATAATTTACATATAATTTGTTGAACTGAATATATTTAAATTAGAATTTTAGCCATTGTGTGGACCAGACAGGATTTTCCCCCAATTTATATTGACTTAACAATACTTTCTTTCTCCCACTTCCTTAAATGACATATTAAATTTAAATCTGAAATCAGTCTATTAAATTAGGTCATCACAAACCCCTGCGGATGAAATCTTGGGGCCTTAAAAATTAAATTCTTACCAGCCTAATATTGACCTTAAACTTGTATCTTTCTTTCTTTTCCCCACTCTCTAAATAAGATAGCAATATTTCTTGATTTTAACCTGGAGTAATTGTTCATATTTTTATTTGTGATTTTGTTTGTAAGTCTGAAAGATTGACTATTTTCTTTTTTTTAAAAAAAATTATTACCTATGGGATTTTAAGTGTTTGATATTCATTAATTAATAATCTTCAACCGAAACGAATTGAACACTCCGGGTCACTGACGTCTTTCGCATAGAAAACGTTAAAATTTCACTTCGCCTAGGGGTATGATACATAATCGGTCGGGTTTCGATCCCGGTTTGAAGAAATCGGACGTCTAGCCACACTGAAGAGCTGTAATAGACCGAAACAGTCTGTCTGTGGATGACACTCTCTCACTATATATATATATATATATATATATATATATATATATATATATATATATATATACACACACACAGGGTGTCCATAAAGTTCGTGTGCACTTTAAAAAATTATCACTTTATTTGTATTTGCGATAGAAATAATCTGTAAAAATGTTATAAAGTTTAATGTACCTAGTTTTAAGTATAGTTATTGAATAATTTCTTTACCACAAAATTTGCGACAATTTTTATATAAGTAAAAAAATATTTTCTTTTTTCCAGCATATTACCCATTGTATTGCTAATGATGGAGAACATGTGAAAACTTAAATAAAATTTCAATAACATCTTAAAAAATATAGATTTACTTCTTTATAATCCTTTTTACAAATTATTTCTATCGCAAATAAAATAAAGTTATATATATATATATATATATATATATATATATATATATATATATATATAAAAAAATATACTGAAAAAAAAACAAAAATCCTAATATGCGATTATGCTGTTTTAATGTTTAATGTCAACGTCGGACGTTTCGGTCTAATAGACCATCTTCAGGTCATATTCATAAAACATAATTAACATAGACCATATACAATTCAATATGAAAAAGACGATGGACATAAAAGCAATACCAATCCAAACAGATAACTGAAATCTTTTATAAGATCAGCGTTGACATTAAACAGCATAATCGCATATTAGGATTTTTGTTTGTTTTTTCAGTATATTTTTCTTCATACTGTCGGATCTATATATATATATATATATATATATATATATATGTGTGTGTGTGTGTGTGTGTATATTTGAGAGAGGTTAAATTAAATATGGATTTGAATCCGAGAGATGAGATAAAGAACAAATAGGAAAGGTTTATCAACGTTACATGTTTCATTTTTTCAAAGCTTCATGAAGCTTTAATAAAAGTGAAACATGTTAGATTGATAAAACTTTCATATTTGTTCTTTATGCTGTCATGTATGTATGTCGATTTAATAGGCCAGTTAATTAAATTTGAGGAATAAAAAGACAACAAAATGATATCAATATTGGCAATAAGAATGATTATATTTATTAATATATTAGCCCTTTGACTAAACTGAAGCAAGAAAAGATTTCAAAGTCGGAATTTTCGGATAAGCCTGTGTCCTTTTTCAACTAGACGATGAATAAGCAAATAAGTGGGACTTAAACTTCCAAGGAATATTGTTGTTGGTGGTTAGAGGGCTCTCTGTAAAAACTATATTCTCTGAATAAACCCAAACCCCTGTTTAATCCTTTAATATATTATTTTATTTTCAAAATAAATTTTAACTGTCATTCTTGTCAGCTGTTAAATGAAAATGCTAAAAGCATCTGATGTCATCAATGCTATGGAGCGGTTGGTTGAAGTGTGTAGCGACAGGAACAATTATTGTTGTTGTCTTTGATGTTTTTTTTTTTTATGTTTATTGAACCGAAGACACACACACATATATATATATATATATATATATATATATATATATATATATATATATATATATATATATGCATGCTAGCACGGTCACATATCGTGACCGAGAGTTCAGCGTGCTGGCCTTGTTAAAAAAAAAATGATCACGCCAGCTTATGCCCTCTCTCCCAGAAATTGTAACTAAGATCCGCTCAGTATAGTTGCAGTATAAACTACAGGTGGGCTCTGAAACGTACACAACATAAACGTACCTTAGTAGGCGTCTACAACAGGTATTGGCGAGCCACCCGAGCAGACAGTCATACGAGTGACCAGCTATTATATATATATATATATATATATATATATACGATTAAGGAAGTGCTGAAAAGTTCTCCACCTAACTAAGAAGGCTCAAGATATTTTCAGCACATACTTGTGTCTGTGTGCGTGAGATAGACAGATATATAGATAGATCACACGACAATTAAATAACATCTGAAAAAGAATTCACAAAAAAATAATCATTAGTAATTTTAGAGTTGTCTTTTTACTACTAAATACAGCCTGCATAAATACATATCGATGAAAATGTGTGTTTATATATATATATATATATAAAGTGTAACGTACGGGGCACTCAGTAAGGATCAAACTCACTACTTCGTCATAATTGATCTTGCAAAATAATTTAACTCAAACGCGAATGGTTTAAAATTTGTTATACAATTATTTTTTAGGCGTTTTGTGTATATAATTTAAACAAACAGAAAAAAAATCTAAACGAAATTGTCTCGATAAGATACTCAAAAAACAACTTTTTTTTTTCTAAATTTAAAATTCCCAGCATCTCTCGTTCGTGCGCATGCGTAGTCGCTTCAACGTAAATAACCCTACTTCGATGACGTTGTAATGGACGAAACGCATCACACGAAAACTTTTTTTTTTTCAATTTTTCATACATCCTTCCCCCAAAATTGTTCTTGGTAGATAAAAATTTATATATCGTTATCCTATTATATAGTGATTGCTTCCTTTTTTTTTTTAAGCAGTGTTTGTATGTTTGCCTGCCTGCACACTCGAGATAGGTACTTTCATGAAATCGCTAAAAAAGAGTTTTTAGCATGACGAAAAAGACGCCAAACTTGACGAAAACAAAACTTTATCATCTAAATATTTATGTTATTATTTTACTGTAAAAAACTTAATAAAGAAAATGTGCCATTTAAT